GGTCTCCCAGACTTGAACATTTAAGCAGTCTCTTGCCCTAATTTTTATATGAATACCAACTTTAAATTAAGAACCGCCGACTTTTTTTCTAGTGAAGCTCCCCCTCCCGCACACAAACTTTTTGCCAGCTTCTTAATCTCCTTTGCGTTGCTGCTTTTACTTATAACATATGATTCGTGAAAACCTGACAAAAAAATTGTTAGGTTTGAACAATTGTTTTTAAATATTTTCATAGAACATTTTTCAGATTTCCTACATGAAAAAAATTATATGTGAAGCAGGGTTGCCGGCGTTCGGGATGGGCTAAACGCCCAAACCCGAACGTCCGACCGTTCTACACCCCGGACAAAAGAAAAAAAAAACAAAACAAAAGTTTCCAAAACGTCCGAAAACAATATATGTTATGAAGAAGAATAAACTAAACAAACTTTGCCTCAACGTTACATCCAAATTCTTTACCAAATTTGAAATAAAAATCAGATACTAAAAATAAATTATAATAATAAAAATTAAAAAAAAAAGAATGAAATTATTGAGTGGGTGAGTTTCTTTTTGACACCGCCATCTCTGGTGATTTTTCATTTTGTTTTGGCTGTGACAAATGCCATGAAATTTTCTATATGTATATCTTATATAATATAGAATCTACAAATAACGTTTGAAAAAATAATATTTTTTTCCATGCACTGAAATAAAGGAAAAACAAAAAGTGAAAAGAAAAAAAAAACAAATTAGTAAGTGGGCAAACAAATTTTGACATCACCATCTTTGCCGATTTTTTGTTTTTTGTTAGCTGAACAAAATGACGTCAAAAGTAAGAGGGAGATATCTTACATCACAAAGAACTCGCAAAAACAAATTTAGAAAAAAATAATAATATTTAGGTGCCAAAATATTTTTTTTCGGGGTGCGAACCCCTTCACGTTTGGGCCCCGTACGGGGACCCGAACGCCCAAACATTCGGGGTCCAACTTAGTGGCCTCCGTACGTTCGGTATGGCAACCCTGATGTGAAGTAAATTGATTGCAAAAAAAAATAGAAAATTATTTTTTCAGAATCACTAGAAGTGGTGAGGAGAGAAGCAAGGTTTTTTACAAAAAATGACTACCTTGCAAAGCACTATTTGTTTAGGAACCGAAATATCCCAGTTTTTTGTTTATCTGAAAAAAATGATATTTATATTTTTATAAGGTATGTAGCACGACGAACCTACTCGGAGGTTTCTCAAACACGTACACATATTCTCCAGTTCAAGAATACGTTCGCTTGGATATGTTCTCTCATACATGAACGAATATATTATTTCTTAGTGTTTTTAACTAGGTTACTTGATCAGACGTCCGGGATCCCCCTGATTGTCCGGGATGTCGGACCGGACGTCTGGCCGGACGTTGGACCGGACAGGGTATGTCCGACCTACCGCAAAAAAAAAAAAAAAAAAAAAAAAGTGTGGCTTTCACCTTGCACAAGGTGTATGCCACCAATTTTTTTGGCTCATTTGGGCAAGTAGAATAAACAATAAAAATCTTCAAAGATTCTAATCCCCACCAATACCCCTCTTATTTCCACCAAAACCCCTCGTACCCCCCCCCCCCTACCCGAAATACCACCCTATCCCCACATGCTCAGAAAAATCTAAAAATGTTTGTGGGGGGTCTCTAGGGCATGCCTAACACTGTCATATTATGACGATATATATATATATATATATATCGTCACTATATATATGTTTTTTTAATATTATTTAGTGTCAAAAAACCGTCGTCCGGAAATCCGGACGACGGGGGTACCGGATATATGGGGGAGACGTCCCGCGGAGACGTCCGGTCTCCGGACCATTGGTAACCTAGGTTTTTAATAAAATATTTTTCCATTTTTTTGTTTTAAATCGTGGTTGACTTAAAATTTAAAGATGTATCCCAAACAAAAGTTGTTTGAATTCTTCTTTTATATAACATATATTTTTTACATGGGTTTTACAGGCAACCTAAAATTGAATATATATTAATTTATAGTTCTATAAACGAGTTTTCGCAGAGCTTGGTTTTACCAAAGTGCTAAAAACGACTTATAGTTTTATAAACGAGTATTCACTGAAACTGTTCTTTTTAATATCTTTTGAGTTCGGGTAGCAATCCTTAAACATTGTCGTATTGGGGTTATGCTTTTTACCAATCTAGTGAGAAGTTGAGAACAACTTATAGTCTTATAACATGCTCTTTGCTGGAAAGGATTTATTGCTAGACTCTTTGCCAAATTTTTTTGTCTCCTTTTTCTGAAAAAAGTAAAAACGCTCTCTTTTATATGTCAAAAATAACAGTTTGACTTTTACTTTTTCATTCTATAAAAAATATTAGGCTTTTCTGTTTTTTAGGTTTTCACGAATTCAGTATTCACTCTTTATCAACCTACGAAAGCCTACAAAAAAATGATATCCGCACCATTAAGCCCGAAGCCGCCCTGAACCATGTCACAAACGATGTGTGCCCTTAGAATCTTCCGGAAATGTCCACCCGCATCCGAACATTGGTGTCATTTTAAAACTAGAAAGTGTCAATGTCACAGACTAACATCTGTAGCCTCTCCTCCCAAACAAATCATTCTATACATGGGGGAGAGAAGGTGTGGGGGAGGGGCGGCTCAGCCCACCTTTTCCCACACTTAAGCAAGACCTCAGAAACGCCGAATTCTTACCTGCTCCTTCGCTATGCCAGCCACTGGCAGCCAGCGAAGGCCCGAGCAGAAATTTTGTTCGTGGCGCCAAAGCCAAGTTCTTACCTCAAATTACTTGCTCCTTCGCAAAAACAAAAAAGCAAAGTTTTCTTTTCCTGGATGGACGAGCATGAATATAGCCTGCTTTGAAACTTGCGATTGACAACCACACAATTCTCAATTATGTGGAGCTGGTCACCTAAGTGATGATATCTCAATGTAGTCGCTGTTCTAGAACTTCCTTTTACAACTTGAAAGGTGAAAAATTTATTGAATCGATACAAAATCCAAGGTCATGGACCGCAGGCCTCCGCAAGGATGGCACGCATATTAACTACCATTTCGTCAAAATGGACATCTTTTATTTTTTGAACGAAATTGAAACCGAGTTTTTTGGCCGAAAACTCGTCAAAATTTGTTGTTCCTGAGGGTCCGGTGTTTGTGAAACGCTGGACCCTCAGGAACAGCAAATTTTGACGAGTTTTCGGACAAAAAACTCGGTTTCAATTTCGTTCAAAAAATAAAAAAATGTCCATTATGACGAAATTGTCGTTTATTGCACCTATAGCGTTCTGTACCCTCTTGAGATCGGAATTGCTTGGGTGTATACACAGCAGTCCCCCACATGTACATAACCCATAAACGCTCTTTTCTTTATTATCAGCTAATAACTGTTTGTAAGCATACACAGAGAAGTAAAACACATAGACAGTGTTACTTTCAACTTTTGCTGCATGGCAAACAACACAACGAACACACGGTCCACAAAACATGGCACAAAAAGTGGATCACGCCTACGTCAAAGGTTAACACCCGCAAACACAAATCAATCTATACATGGGGCCCGTCGCGGTGTGGGGGAGGGGGGTAACTTGAACATAACTTGAGGAAACCCAAGTTTTTACGTGCTCCTTCTGCTTTGCTGGTTTCGGTACTCTGAGTCATTACGTATCGGCGCTTCTTGGCGCTTCTTGGCCGAATGCAAATACAAGCCAAATTTCATTCTCTATCACTAGAAAAAAGGCTATCCACAGCGCCAAGCCTGCTCCATTTCACAAGCTGTATCTGCCCTTATGCAAATACACGCCAAATTTCATTCTCTATCACTAGAAAAAAATGATATCCACGGCGCCAAGCCTGGTCCATTTCACAAGCTGTATCTGCCCGTCCGACCCTCCGACAAAACTTTGCACCCCTCCTCCAAGCTGCACCCCCGCGCATGGCGTGGTACAACAGTCCAACGGGGTGTGCCCCAGATGGCCAGGCACGACCCGCCATACATATTCCCGAGCCGAGAAAGAGAGTATCTGGTCACAGAGCTGGCTAGAACAGGTTCATGCTAACATAGAACGCACATGACACCGATGGGCCTCGGTGAGGCATACCCCTCTCATCAGTCTCGGTCGTGCCGTTGATATTCATACTGTACTGGCGCCGGTCGGCGGTGATAGTGCACTTGCGCCGGTCACACTGCACCTGGATCGCCTCAAGGTTCTGGACTTGACCCGGAGTCCCTGACGAGCCCGTGTTGCTGAAAGGTACACACTGTCATGTCACAGTGTCATGTACTAACTGTTAGCAAAAAGGTCGACCGTGACCAGCCCGTGTCGGGCAACGGTACACACAATGTAATGCAACTGTTAGCGAACAGGTCGCGAGTTCGACTCCCTCTTGCACTTAGGATTAGGAATTTGTCCATCTGATCCCAGAGCTGAAGATGGGCAGATTGTCATGTCGCGGTCAACGAAAGTTGACTCGAGGCAAAGTCGAGTTGACTCGAGGCTTCTGGCATTGAAGTGTTTGTGGATCACAGTGCCGGGGTGTCGGGGTGCGGGGGGAAGGACGGGTTGTCTTCCGTTAGCGAGATTGCAGTGTCTTCCCGGAGTAGCGAGCGGGCACGTACGTGAGCCGTTTGATAGCTATCCGCCGCAAAGCGGTCCAAGTATCTCACCTCATGGCGGCGGCAAAGGTGCGCCCATGTCATCAGGTTGTGGACGACATCTCTCGAGTGCCACGTTTTCGGGGGGCCGTGGACCGTAGATGTATCTGAATCTGAACGCCACCGGCTTTGGCAAGCAGAGTTGCGGCATTTCCCAGACATTTTCTGGTGAGACCGGGAGGTATATTGAAGACCTTGCGATTTCCATTTGTGACAGATGCAATAGTTCCCGCCACTGGATATCTTCTCGCTTGTCTGCTGTCCGTGGCGCTTTTTTTTTCATATCTTCTGTGATCACCTCCGCGCGCCCGGGATCCAGGCGTCGAAGTTCTGTCAGCTTTACCGAAGACGTGATCGGCCTTCGATTTGATCACCGGTCGACAGCTTAATATGCGCACGAAGTTTCTCCTGTAGATCCTCTCGACATCATCGATGGACTCGGATGTCACTGCTTCAGTCGCTCTCTTGCTCGGTACGTTCATCGCGCCATACTTGACGAAAACCGGGTGTTTCTACTTCACCCGCCATGTCCGAATGTCGTTGTAAACGGAATTTCCCGAGCCAGGCCCAGAATGCACGTGCACCGCGTGCAGCTATGATCATGGGTGACACTGTTGCTATTGACCGTAAGTGAACTGATAACCCGTTGCGCGCGTGTGTGTGTGTGTGCGAGTGTGGGCTTTTGTTTTGTGTGTGCGTGTCTGTGTCTGTGTGTGTGTCTGTGTGTGTGTGTGTGGTGGGGGGAGGTGTTCGGGTGTGTCCATGTGGATGTGTGATTGATTGTGTACGTGTGTACGTGGCGTGTTGTGTGTGTGTGTGCTGTGTGTGTGTGTGTGTGTGTGTGTGTGTGTGTGTGTGGTGGGGGGAGGTGTTTGGGTGTGTGCGTGTGGATGTGTGATTGATTGTGTACGTTTTGTGTACGTTTGCGTGTTCTGTGTGTGTGTGTGCTGTGTGTGTGTGTGCTGTGTGTGTGTGTGTGCTGTGTGTGTGTGTGTGTGTGTGTGTGTGTGTGTGTGCTCTGTTTGTTTGTGTGTGTGTGTGTGTGTGTGTGTGTGTGTGTGTGTGTGTGTGTGTGTGTGTGTGTGTGTGTGTGGAAACGGTGATGTGCAGCCGTGCGGCCGCTGGATGAGCTATGACGGCACAACGAGCTTGGGGACCACGTGGCCGTTGGATCGCGAACTTTGAGCTCACAAGTAGTAGTGCGATTTAGCGGCGTGTAGTCAGTGAGCGTAACGGCAAGGTGGGTGACGGAAGTAACGCCGAAGGTTCACCGCGAAGCTACCGTAGCCGAGGTAAGTCAACGGAAAGGGAAGGTGGAGAGGAAGATGGCGACCAGCAATGCAGTTAATAGGGAGGATCCGAGAGGCGGGAATCGGCAGGGTGAGGAAGAGGAGATGGAAAGAGGAATGGAGGGAGAGCGACCGTCAGCAGATCGAGGACCCCATCGGCCGCCGGGCGAAGCCGCTCAGCAGCGACGGCGAAGAGGGAGAAGGGTGGGCCGGATAGGTGGTCTCTTCAATGCAAGGACGGGGTTAAGGCGTCTAGAGTTTGTGCGTTTCCTGGTTGTCTTCATCTTATGCTTCATGTTCCATATGTACCAGTGGCTGAAGTCGGAGTTGGGTGACAAGTTGCGCCGCTCTCTAGAGACGCTCGAGCGAGCTTTGAGAGCAGTTAAAGCGGAGGAATTGCTTCTGATCGCAGACAATTTAGCGTTCAAAGTGGTTAGTGCTGTGGACCAACTGGTGGACTATGTGGTCCGATGGCTGGACCATCTTGTGCCAGATTGGTTCAAAGCAAAGGCGTATGGTATAGTGACACAGGCACCGCGTGTTGTCCATCGCGTTGTGCATGAACTGATTGTCTCCTTGCAGGAGGAAGGGATGGGGAAGACGGCAAAAGCCTATTACGATAAGCTGGAGACGATGATGATCGACGCCACGAGATCGATTCCTCTCGGTCGCAAAGCAGCGAGGTACGTGGTGCCGACAACGAGGCTGACCTTAGAATCGTATAATCGGGTCTTGTTCGTGCTGAAGGCTGTGCCAGCGCTAATGCCGCTACCGATAATGCAGAGAGTCATTCAACAGCTGCCGTTCATTCCGACGAGAAGGGTGACGTCAGCTTTAAATGAGCGGGTTCGACGTATCGTCGAACCAGAGCGAGAGGGGTAGTAACCGGACGAAGCGGGGGACATAGAGACCGAGGGGGGGAGAGGGAGGAGGGGCGGCTTGCGCGGCCGAAACGAAGGGTCTGAGTCCGCCTATGTAGAGGAGTCGGATTCCTTGATCTTGTGCTATTTGTTCGCTGCTGTGTCTTTTTTGACGACCTAGTTTTGTTGTGTGGAAATGCAGTATATAGGATGCAACATATCTGTGACATTAAGTGGCGTGTAATTGACGTTGTGTGCGTTACGGTTCTGTCGTTCTGTTTGTTCAGTTCATTAGCAACAAGTTTAGCTGAACGGAGGTGGGCAAGCTGAGTAGGACGGGACAGGGAGAGGTTCATTGCCGTTCATTGCCCGTTTGCCGGTCATCGGTTCTGCCGATGTTAGTCACCAGGATTGGGCACAGTAAGGGGTAAGGAGGGAGGGAGGCTTCCTCGATTCCTTGATATTGGCTGTGGGTGAGCCTGCGAGGGAGAGAGCGGAATCGACTCGCCTTCTGAGGATTCTGGCGTTCCAGTCGTGGCTAGCCCTTGGCGACGCTGGCGTCTCTGGGATGGGGGTTGGATGGGTCAACGATCTGGGAGAAGAATAAAATTTGAGAAAGAAAGAAAAGAAGGGGAAAGAAAGGCAGTGGAAAGAAGAGGACGCTGTTTCTTATTAGAAGATTAGAGGGTCGACTCTTTGAAGGCTGGCTGTGGATCGTAACAGGGTATCGTCTCTCTCGGTGGGTGACCCGTGGCCCGTGGGGCAGAGCGGTGCAAAAGGGATGAGAGAAAGTGGAGACAAATTCAGACAATATGGAGGGGAGAGGAATAGGGAGAGAGGAAAAGAGATACAGGTAGGCAAGCCGGGCAGACAGATAGATAGATATATAGATAGATAGGTAGATGGACAGGGAGGCAGACAGATAGGCAGGTAGACAAATAGAGAAATGGGCAGAGAAATAGAAGCATACGCCGTACGGAGCGGGAGAGATAGGGGAGTACAGAGAGGGACAGATGGAGGCATGCGGAGAGGCAGAGAGGGAGACAGATGGAGATTATCAGAGGGGGCGCGTGTCAAGGAGGGGAAAATACAGAAGGCAGCGAGGGAGGAAAGGCGAATGCGAGGGAGTCTGTCCAGCAGCGATGTCAAATTGATGATTAGGGTATTCAAGCCGATCGGGCTTTAAAGTTTCGGGTAATAAAAAATCTGTGACCCCCCTCTATCTCGAACGGGCCCCCATATTATCTCGATTATCAGCTTTCGTTTAAGGGGGTTGTGGCAGGATGCCGCAGGAGCAATCGCTCATGGTGAGGCAACGGAGGCTTCAATGGGATTCCATGAACCTGGTTGTGTGTTCGAAAAGCTAGCTGGTCGAAAAGCTTATTCGGATGCCAACGACTCAACGAGGCTAGCACGGGCATGGATGTATCCTCTGCGTTTTGACGGTCAGGTGACTCCGGTCCTGTTCGAGGCTGTCTGAAACTGTGGTTAAGTCATTGACAATCTTAGTCAATGTGAGTGATAAAGAAATGGACCAATTTGTTTTCTATCTTTTGTAATTTGTACGTTGACTTTTTCTTATAGAGAATTTGTCCGTTGACTTTTTCTAGAGAATTTGTACGTTGACTTTTTTTTAAGAGAATTTGTACGTTGACTGGCTGAAGGACAGAAGTGGGCCACCGACCAGTGCTATCGACGACAGGCTTGGCATGGTAGGAAATAGACTTCTGGGTTTTAACTTCTCAGCAAATCATTCTCATGGAGCACGACCATTCTTTTTTGATGCAGTCTGATGAGTGAAATCCGCTTTTCCGTCTTCACCCGAATAGAACGCCTGGTCATTATAGCTGTATTTGACGCAGCTTTCAGTCCAGATACGGCCATAATTACCGGGCGTTCTATTCGGGTGAAGACCGTAGCGAGAGTTTTCTCCGGATTTCTGTTTGTGTGTGGAGAGGGCGATAGAAGGGAGACGGGTACCGAAGGAAAGGGGGTGGGGGGGGGGGGGGGGGGGGGGGGGGGGGGGGGGGGGGGGGGGGGGGGGGGGCGGGTTTTTTTGGGGGGGGAAGGGGAGGAGCGGGAGGTTGAGGGGGGCCGGGGTTTGTCTGTGTCTTGGCGCGACAATTATTGCGTACTCACATTGGCACTGTCTTAAATGCATTTGACCGCATTTATGACTGGTCCTGTATGCATCTGGCCGCAGTTCCGTCCAACAATAAGTAAAAAAGCGCTAGTGTGAGTATGCCCTTACTGGTGTGGAACGTGGGGGCGGTGCCGCGCTCGATTACTGTAAAGCATGTTTGTAGACGTGTATTTTGGGTCTCTCTTTTTTTTTTTTTTTTTTTGCATGCTGAAAAGGAAAGTCTTAAGTTTTTTTTTGTTTTTTTTTTTCTTTCTATTAAGCATCCTTAAGTATCACTTACAGCGAAATCAACCGTGCTGGGCTTCGGTTCTTTTTTCTTTTCGACTTTATCACCATTTCTTCAACCCCCCGTCCTATTTGTTGTGTTTTTTTTTTTTAATTTAATCTGGACCATTTCTTGATTGGTGCGTGGCATCCTTGGGCTTATGCTACCGTCTTCCCCCTAACATAACGCACCCTGAAATTGAACGTACAGAAGCTATATTTCCGGTCCGGTACAGCCAAGATGAGGGTGTGTTGTTTCGTTCCAATTTTAACGGATGACGTCCCGAAGGACCCCGTCCTATTTGTCATGCGTGCAGAAAATGCTTTGTTACGCAGACGTGGTCCTGCATTTGTGCGACTTGCGTGTCATTCTGGCGTCATCCGTTAAAATGCAGGATCGAAAAAGAATCAGGGGCCTCGCGCCCCTACTCTCGAAATGTGCAAAACGAGAGCCAACTTTCCGCAAGAACATGGAAAGATACACCGCCATGATTTGTCTTTTGTGCATGTCGAGAGTAGTGCAGGGACGCCATAGGCTGGTCTGTGACTGGTCCAGATAATTCAACCACGAAGGGGTCCCTCTCAGATTACTCAGCCAAAATGGGATACAATTTCCTGTCAAACCCTCAAGCTCTGCAGGCAGGGCTCTTCGTTGGTTGGCAGCGCAGAGTCTCGTCCCTCAAACTCAAACCACTTCTCCCCAACTGGACACTCTTCTATATCTATCGAATCCAAGGTGGGTGGCCTGGAATGGCTACACCTCCACTCATGCGTCCCTACTGCCATGTGGTGTTCTGAGAAGGGCTTGGACATATCTACCTGTTGCGAAGCCTGTTCCCACCCTTCCCTGGAGGATTGGGTCCATCTATGGTGGGAATGCGTCATTGCCAGAGGATACTGGGACGAGCTAAACTCATGGTGGTACAAGGCCTACACAGTACCGGACTTGTGGAATCAAGATTACGTTGTTACTGGCAGACTCGGTTCTCGCTTCCACAAGCATCAATTGGGCAAAGTGGCCCAACACTTCAGGAAAGGAGCTTTCTGGAACCTCTGGCTAGCAAGAAGGGCTCCCTTCCTTGTTGGCGCAGTTTAAACAGTCTATTCGCCTGGATATCACAGCAGACTGGTACAAAATCAGAAACTCCTCAGCCTCAACTGACTTGGCAAAACATGCCTTCCGTCAGAAATGGTCTTTGACCTACAAATGGGCGGACCTATCTGAGAATAACGGACTGTTCTACACGGACCTTCTGTGGAATCATCCCAGTAATAACTCCTGATCTTCACTTGTCTGCTCTTATATACTCTCCCACCCCTTCGGAACCCAGTTACATTCCCTTTACTGGGAGTACACATTGCCCTGATCAACCAGTCATCGGATCCACTGTTAGACTGTAGTCTACTTCATGTACCAAGTTTTTACTACTTTTAGATACGGTCCTGGAAATGATTACTGCTGTCCTTTTATTTATCAGTATGGATGATTTTTTCCTTTTTGTTACTCCCGGGTAGACTGCGAGGACCCCGGCCTCATCTATTTCAATTGGGACGCTGGACCCGCTTTCCAGCAAGTGCAGCTCCCCACGAGTAGGAGCCAGATTTGTTTAAAAAAAAAAAAAAAAAAAAAAAAAAACAACAACAACAAATAGGATGGGGTCGTTCGGGACGTCATCTGTTAAAATGCAGGACATAGGGCTAGTGCTTCTGTTTTTTTTTTTGTTTTTTGGAAAGCATAGTAATTGGTGCTTCTGTGTGCTTCTACTCTTTCTTTCTTTACTTGCGATAGGATAGAATTCTTATGCTGATACTAGAGGTAATTCAGTGGGTACTTTTGAAGGCAATAAATAGTAGGGGTAGGCAATTGGAGGGCATCGGGTCCCTCGGGATCCTGTAAAAAGCTAAGCTGGTTAAGGCTCCCAGTAGTTACTTTTCTGTTTTCTCCGGGTAGAATTGAGAGGTCTCCGGCCTCAAGTCACTATTTTTTGGCATTATACCACCAGTACTTGGCCCACCTATTGGCTGCGGGAAAAAATAGAGTAGAAACATTTCTACTCGGATGAATTTGGGCGCTCATGTAGTGGTCCGTACATTTCCTAAAATTGTGGCGCGTTAACGGGCATGACTCTAGGAAGTACTGGTGGTATAACACAAGCTGACATCTTTTGAAAAAAAAAAACAAAAAAAAAAATGCAGGACCGAAAAAGAATAGGATGGGGTCCTTCGGGATGTCATCCGTTAAAATGCAGGACCGAAAAAGAATAGGACGGGGTCCTTCGGGGCCCAAGTCCCACTGCCAATTCACTCCATCCGGTATTCTATCGCCTTTGTTTGTGGGACATCATCTGAAACCAATGATCTGTATTGATCGCAGGGTGCAGGTTTCTTACGAAAAAAGAAACGCCATCAGTCAGAACATTCAGTGTTCCTATTGGCCACGAAATCCGTGTATTCTGTAGGAAAAGAGGCTCATCGGTTCTACTCCCTAGCCGCTCCGAGGTCGGCTAGGGAATCAAACCCGTTTCGAATTGGGGGCCCTGCGGGAAAAAAAAACTGAGTGCGTGAAGAGGGGCCAAGGATTCCTACAGAGGCTCATCGGTTCTACTCCCTAGCCGCTCCGAGGTCGGCTAGGGAATCAAACCCGTTTCGAATTGGGGGCCCCGCGGGAAAAAAAAACTGAGTGCGTGAAGAGGGGCCAAGGATTCCCTCGACTTGGGGCGGGCAAGAGCGAGCCTGTCCCTAGAAAATGCGTGTTTGGAAGTGCAGGCTGTGAATGTGGTGGACATGGTTTGTGTGTTTGGAAGTGCAGGCTGTGAATGTGGTGGACATGGTTAATGATTATACAGTTGCCGTGACTGTCAGGGCCGGATCCCACTGGCAAAGAGGATTGGAATAAGCCTCTGAATCTGGACGTGTTTGTGGAGAGGTGCGGACATTGAACTGCTTTTCTGCATCTCTGTGTGGAACACTTTCAGATTCAGCCACTTACTGCAATCCTCTTGGCCCATGGGATCTGGCCCTCAGTCGTGCACAGGGACATTCCAGGGTCGAGGGGATGGGCGTGTGCAGGCGGAGGGTGGACCACCTCCAGCAATAGTGGCCACAGATGCATGGCAGAGGATCGAACACAATCTGTGTTCCTCGTCGAGAGCATGTCTTCCATCCCAGGGAGATTCACCATTCCCGGCAATGGTAGCCTAGACCTCTGCCCAACCGTCTCCAACAAGCGACGAGTGTCCTCTCCGGTCTGGTTAGCAAGGACAAGAACAGCGGCACAAGCCCTCGCACTGCACGATCCCTCGACATTCGAGCCATCTCTCTCTCTCTCTCTCTCTCTCTCTCTCTCTCTCTCTCTCTCTCTCTCTGGCGGAATGGAGTCTCTACCTTGTCTAGCGAAGTCTCTCTCTAGAGGAGTGTCTCTCTCTCGTCAGACACTCTCAAAGCGATCCAGTGAGAACTCTGGTGCTACCGTGCTGGCGATTCTTCTCTGCTACCGTGTTCCACGATCATCTCATCGGCCGGTGAGCGTGTCCCCAGTCCCCCAACCACTGTCCCATGAACCGCTTACATCCGAGGAGGTGCCTTGGCCCTACCGCACGGGAACCGGCCCACAAGAATTGTCGCACCCAGTCGCTGCACCACTCTCCAAATGTGCAAAACAAGACTAAATACATTTCCACGTCTTTTGTCTTTTGTGCATGTGGAGAGTAGTGCAGGGAGGCCCCCAGTTACAGTGGAGTTTAAATGGCGCCGCCAAGCTGATTTTGCACGTGCGGATGTGGTTCAGGAGGCAGAACATGCCTGCAGGGCTCGGACCGTTTTCCTGATGTCCAAATTTCACAGCCCTGATATTTTATTCCATGTATTTAGTGCCCGCTCATCGTCACACTGGCTAGGAAACTGAACCGATTCGCTGGCAGTGGGACTTGGCCCCGGGACGTCATCCTATTTGCCATGCGTGCAGAAAATGCTTTGTTACACAAACGTGGTCCTCCAAAAAAAACGAAAAAGAATAGGCCATGTTTTTTTTTAACTTCTTGCCCTTTATCCTAAAAAGAATAGCAGGTAGTTCTGCATTTGTGCGACGTGCGTGTCATCCTCAGGCTGGCGAAACGGGGCTATCTTAATCTTCC